TACTCAGTCAGAGTTGAACATGCGACAAAGAAGATGGTTAGAACTGATTAAGGATTATGAATTGGAAGTACATTATCACCCTGGTAAAGCAAATGTAGTTGCAGATGCTCTCAGTCGCAAAAGTTATTGTAATTGTCTGGCAGTGAAAACAATGGGTTTGACTTTATGTCAAGAAATGGAAAAGTTGAATATAGAAGTAATTCAACAAGGAAGTTTGACCAACATAATTGTAGAAGCCACTATTCGAGATCAAGTTATTGCTGCTCAGAAGGAAAACAAGGGTATAGCCCATATCAAGGAAAGAGTCGAGAATGGAAAAGCAGAATGCTTCAGCATAGATGATAAAGATGTGTTGTGGTTCAAGGATCGCCTGGTGGTACCAAAAGTTCCTGAGTTGCGGCAGTCAATTCTTGAAGAAGCACATGCTACTAGGTTATCTATCCATCCGGGAAGTAACAAGATGTACCATGACTTGAAGCAAAGATTCTGGTGGACTAAAATGAAAATAGAGATTGCTAGATATATAGCAAAGTGTGATACTTGTCAAAAGGTGAAAGCTATACATTTGAGGTATGCTGGTGAATTACAACCATTGCCTATTCCATCTTGGAAGTGGGAGGACATAAGTATGGATTTTATTGTTGGTCTACCCAAGACATCAAAGGGATTTGACTCAGTATGGGTTATTGTAGATCGACTCACTAAGTCAGCACATTTTCTTCCTGTCAAGACTATATATCCCACTATCCAATATGCCAAGATATATTTAGCAAGAATTATGAGTCTCCATGGAATACCAAAGACCATAGTGTCCGATCGGGGTACACAGTTTGTCTCCAGTTTTTGGAAACACTTACATGCTTCATTGGGTACTAAACTTCTGTATAGTACAGCTTATCATCCGCAGACTGATGGACAGACTGAAAGAGTCAATCAAGTGCTTGAAGATATGTTAAGGTGTTGTGTCCTTAATTATTCCAACAAGTGGGATGAATGCTTACCTTTGGCCGAGTTCTCATATAACAATAGTTATCAGGAAAGCATTAGAATGGCTCCATTTGAAGCACTCTATGGCCGTAGGTGCAGAACATCGCTGAGTTGGTCGGAGCCCGAAGAAAGAAGATTCTTTGGAGTTGACCTTGTGAAAGAAACGGAAGACAAGGTTAGGCAAATACAAAGTAATTTGAAAATAGCTCAATCCCGCCAAAAGAGTTATGCGGATAGACGACGGAGACCATTGGTATTCAACAAAGGAGATTTTGTATATCTGAAAGTATCACCAATGAAGGGAGTTAACCGTTTTGGTGTTAAAGGAAAGTTGGCACCTCGATATATTGGACCATTTCAAATTTTGGAGAGATATGGAAAACTGGCCTATCGCTTGAAATTACCAGAACATTTATCAGCTGTACATGATGTGTTCCATGTGTCTCAGTTAAAGAAGTGCCTCCGAGTGCCTGAGCGGAACGTTGAAGTTGAAGGAGTGGAACTTGAACCAGATCTGACTTATTCAGAATATCCTATCCGAGTGTTGGATCAGAAAGATCGTGTTACTCGGAGGAGAACAATAAAGTTCTACAAGATACAATGGAATCAACATTCAGAAGAGGAAGCTACTTGGGAATCAGAAGATTACTTGTTAGAAAAGTTTCCAGAGTTTCTAGCGTCAATATAGAATAGAATAATGTTAGTTGAGCTCGGTTGCTACAAATTATGTTTTGTAAAAGAACCTCAGTTGTTTTATGGAAAAGTTATGGATGTTTTTGGATTGTCACATTTCCTTTTCCATTACTTACTCTATGGCTTTGAATCTCGGGGCGAGATTTCTTTTAGGGGGAAGGATTGTAACACCTCGGGTGTTTAAAATACTAAAACCTGACATGTCATCATATGCATTGCAAAGCATTTGGCATTTGGTGAAAACTTTGAGATGCATACAATAAAACAAGTTTATATTCATGTGGTATGTGTTGAATTGTATTAGTTGACTCTGGTTCAAAGTTTGTTTGGATTTTGAATTTTTCGAGAAAACCCCGCTTTTCAGCATTTAAATCCTACCCTGAAAATCCATTTCGAAATGTAAGCATAATTTGGGGTTGATCCCAAAAGCAAAAGTGTAGAGCTTGGCAAGTTATGCAAAGTTTATTTTTGGAGATTTTTGAGTTGTTATGAAAATTTGAGAGTAATTTGTGAATTTTGGCGTATGGCAATTTTGTAATTTCTGTGAACAGTGTTCACCGCCTAAGCTACATTGCCGTCGGATCTTCTTCGGCGTTCCAGGCGCGTCGTGGCCATCCTTGATGTCGCGCTGGCACGGAAACGGCTCCGTCATGGCTTCCTTGAGCTTCTGCGCTGCGCTAAAAGTACCAAGACGTCGTCATCGTCGTTTTTCTTCTTCCTTTGTTTTCACCACCGCCGTTGTCATCGCTCCATCAAGCTCGCATCGTCTCCCTAGCGCTGTTGCCATCTCGGTAAAGGCCGTCCTAGTTCCGTCTTTTCCTTGCGAATCCAGCCAGCTAACATTGGTCACCTGAAATTGCCGAGAACTCGTTGTCCACGTCTTTCTTCCTCGAGGTCAGCAACTTCACCGCTGCAGGCATGTCATCGTGGCCAGAGCCCTTCGGTGAGCCGTTGTCTGTAATCAGTGTACTTATGGCTTTGTTGCTATAGTCCTTAGTCAGTTGTTGTTTACTCATTTTGATCACTGTAGTCGCCGGTTCTCCCTCACCGACGATCTTTGCTCCGCATAGTTCACCGTAGTGGTCGGATAGTTCACCGTAGTGGTCGGATAGTTCACCAAAGTGATCGGAGCTGGCGTGGTCACATCAGTTACGAATATGGTTTGGTTAGTTTGGTTTGTAACTGTATTGCGAAGGAAAATTGTATCCAATTTATTAATTTTTTTGCATCCATCATCGAGCATCATGTTTCATATTCCGCATCATGTTAAACATGGCAATGTTACTACGTGTAGTAAACGAAGGTGAACACGTGGTAGTTAATCAAGTTACGGAGGAGGTTGATCTGTCTGTTGAGGTCGGATCGAAGACTTGTGAAACGTCGCAGGAGCCGGACTTTTCCGTCAACGAAGGCAAGCCCCGAATGCATACAACCCTACCTTGTGTTTTACAAATTAATTTCGCTTTTGCTTTCCGTTACTGCATTAAGTGATTAAGAGTTAAGTAAGAGCCTAATTGGTGCATTACCACCCTTGTTATTCCATATTTACCATATTACCAGTTTTGAACTCGTATATGCCTAGTTTTGCTTAGCTATGCGTAGAACGATGAAGTCGGTGACTACCTGCCACCTGCAAGTTTTAAATGGAACATTGGTTAATTATGTTAGCATGTGATATGGGAATGTGGAGTAATAAATCTAGACCGGGCGGACTCGGTGTGTGTGAGCCACAAGACATGAAGGTCTTGTGAGCGGGATCTTTCCGCCTGTGTCGATTAAGGCACGTCCGTTGTTGAATTGCATGAGGTGAGAATTTGTAGTACTAACCACATACTCTGGTAAGCCTGAACTTGGCAATTCTATTACGAGAATGGCTACTCGCGCACTAGGAGTGGAGAGATGGCGGGAATAGCGTGTACCCACGTGGCAATGGGCTGGATTGGTGGAGTACTGTATTCTCGGGTGGCGCGGACCCGTTCTTGTTTTAGAGGATCCGAGAATAGGTTGGTATATGTAGGTCAGGGACATGCATATGTCGTGTGGTCTGGAATCCCCAGTTGGGTTTACAATCGGTTCGAATCGTCGTTGCTCCTCGGTTATGGAGACTCAACTCACTGTTCATCATCGTAGTAATTAATAACTGGAACTTGAGAATGGTTGATGAAGGTGTTGGATATGAAGTTTCATGATCTCATTACGGATCGTGTCATCTTTGTATATGATTTTATGAAGTTTAAACTGTTGAAACAAAGAATTTTGTCAAAGAGCTTTTACGCAAAATAACTTTGATTATTGCTAAAACCATACCTTGAATCCCTGAGCCTGCATTCCTGAGTTATCAGTTCTTATTTCGGTTAAGTCTTGTTGAGTACTTTTGTACTCAGGGTTCGTTGACCCTTGTTGCAGGTGAGCCTCATGAGCAGATATGTTTTGGATCGTGCTGCATGACAGTTGTACCTTGTGATGACGATGAGAAGTAATTGTGTGGCCCTTGGGCAGGGCAGCCTCATTGTGTGTTTTGTATTATATTATAATGCCGCTCCACTACTTTGGTTTGTATTAATATCAAACTTAGTTGTACGGTTTGAAACAAATGGTTTGTAAACTATGTTATTGTAAGTCTTCTGCTACTTTTACTCTGATGTGTCTATTTGAATAAACTGTTGTAATACTACAATGACTCTGTAACGTGATCCTGCTCGGAAATCGTGGATGATTCGGGGTTCCCCGAGGACACCCGACAGACTTCTTAAGTTACCAGGAACATATGCATTGTTGTCAAAGGTCTTTGGACAGTGACAAATGTATGTGGGTCCTATAATTTAGGAGGTTCTACCACATGTGCTCACCATGCCTTGGGGAACCCCATCTACAGCAGTTCGGACCGAAACACCTTGTGGTCGGAGATCGGCGTCAGGCTTGCTCCATGGCTCGAGGAAGAAGATGGTGAAGCTTGGGGCCGTCTCCAACTCCGGCGAGGTGGTGGCGTGGGGAAGCTTGCCGGCGATGACCTCCATCATGGCTGTAGCAGGGAGCGTCCTCCTCCTCTCCTCCTCTTCCTTCCTCTTCTCCTCCTTTCTCTTCAACTCTCCCTCTCTTGTTCTCTGGTTTCCAATGTGAATGGTAAAGAGGATGAGGGAGAGAGAGGGCTGATGGGTTTTGTGAGATGGAGTGCTGACATGTGGGGCCAAGTGATGTGCGTGTGACATCACAACATTTGCATGTTACAGGTGTTGGTCAAATTTGACGGACAGTCCGCTAGAGGCGTCGGACGATCCGCTAGTGCCCGACCGTGTCTGACTAACTGACTGGCTGTGTAGGGGTTTTGACGGACAATCCTCCATGACGGCAGATACTCCATCAGTGCATGGGTTGGCCAAGGTTATCCTAAGTCTGTGAGATGTCTTGACAGATGATCCGGTGGTGATGTCGGACGAATCACCAAAACTGGCAGTGCTCGGTTTTGGTTAGTCTAAGCACACATCGAATTCTAATTTGGACTAAGATGCACATGATGCTCAGCAAATTCATAGGTAACATGCAAGATTTTTTATTAATGGAATTATTAGATGCATTTTTATGCTCAAGGTGCTTGTGAACTATTGTAGCGATTTTTGGGTCGTGACAGACATGGAGGAAAATTCGTAGGCCACGTGATCATGCAATGTCCATCCATTGAGATCAGGGTCAGTTGTGTATATGTATTGCTGATATTTTCAATATGTATGACCTTTCAATCTGGATCCTTGAAGACTATGTTACTAATAAATGGACATTGAAGTATAAGGTGAACACGCTATAGCTATTTGGATGGAACAATATTCAATTTGGTTCCAAGGCTTCCAATGAGGACTACAGAGTGATTGCAGTTCACCTAGAATGGAATTTGTTTTTCCTTGTTGGGGAGGATAGAACACTGATGGCATATGACATGAACCATAGAAAAGTCCCTGTCCTCCCTATCTGGGTCGTCCGCTATCCTTCAAGTACTGGGAGATTTTGTTTGAACAGACCTAACTATCTACCTTATGTTCCCTTATTCATGGAGTCATTAACAGAGTAGTAAAGGTGCATATATTATATTTTGTTGTTAGGATATGTCTTTGTTCGGGTAGGAAGTTGTTTTGAGTCTATATATACACTAGAAGAGGTTAGGCCTTCTATGACTAACTGATTGTGAGGATTACAACATTTTTCTTGTTATTGTACCCCTTCTATGACTATATAGCTATGGTCATAGAAGGTCGGTCATAATCCTCCTTCTGTGACTAAGAGATCCAATTGTCATTAATCTTAGTGATAATTGCACATTTGTCACCAGGTTATGACAACAATATTTGTCATTATATTTGTCATAATATATTAGATGGGATGATAACAAGTGTCTAGGGATCTGAAGTGGCACATGACGTGGCACAGGTAGTATGATGAAAACAATTGTCATAAAAATGAATTTGGCCCAATTGGCCCATATAGAATGGGTTGGTTTTTACACTAGATAATCAGGCTTAGCCGGGCTTTCGTTGGTGCAATTTTGATATCAAGCCCATTATGGATGGGCCAAGCCCATTCCATCAATCTTTACAATTAGAATAATTTCATATGACCCATATTCATATAAATTATTATCAGCCATATATATTTGCATATATCAAAAATCAATAAACAACAGTATGTTTACAGATTATAAAAATTCACCAACAACCATACATTTGCATACATCAACACCAATTTTTTCAATAAAACAAGTCCTGCTGCAATAAGGGAACAATTATAGTGTTGAAGCCAGCCAGCTTGATCCTAACGGTCTCGCTTTGGTAGTTGAAGTTGCAACCTGTTGGTGAAATACAGCATCCAGCCTGAACACAGGATAGATTAATAAGTTGCATAGAAAACAATGTAAGACCACAAATCTGTAACTCGCAGCACAAATCTAACACATCTATGCACAATGCAAAACCACAAATATGTAACTCGCAGCACAGTTGCACAGCCATGTATACTCAAAATCACAAACATGGTTGCCATTCCATGGGATTTCAAGTACAACTATAAAATGTAGCATGCTTCGCGGCGCCCTACCAAACATCTTGGAAACAAATAGTGCACGGTACAGATATTTCAAATATGTATGTTTAATGTCAAATTCAATGGCAAGTAGTGCATGATCCACATAAGGCAAATTAGTTTGTACTGCAAATTGGTAACCTTTTCAGCTGCAAGGATGTCATACATCCAAGCAAAATAGGCTCGCGCTTAGTAACAAAGGCAAGACATAAGTGGTAGAACTATGATGAGGTACCTCAATCAGGCCGATGGAGCAAAGAATGGTGACATTCAACATTACAAGACTCTGAATCAGCACACCTTATCTGAGAGAGAGGAACATTGATGCAGACAAGGCCCGATCTTTCGATAGGTACGATAGCGTCGATTGGAGGAGACTTGATGTTCACGATCTAGGTTTCGAACCAAGACTAATTTGGACCCTCGCAACCATTACACCACTGCTCCGTTGGTTATCAACCACGCGAACGCGATTGACCTCGCCGAGAAGGCTTTCCTGCAAGCGTATCGAGAACACAAGCAAGAACAAGATGAATACAATCTAAAATTGTAAATAAATATGAGGCTTATGATAATGAGAAGGAGTTTAGGTTTTTATTCGAAAGGACTAAACGCCGCAGGCGAACAAGATCAAGAACCGGAGCCCTAGTTCATAGCAAGCGGCCTTAGCGGCATAGTTGCAGCAAAACGACGTCTGTTTCACGAGAAAATCAAGAACTAAACAAAACCCAAACCCTAAGGAGAGCGATGGCTGCTAATTATAGAGCCCCGGACGTCACCCCCTGGATGCGCACCCTAATGGGCTCTAAGACGATACACGGCCCAATGGACCTCAAGACAGTGTCATAGCTCCCTAGCAGATTCTGGACGCTAACTTGTTTTGACGATTCCCGTTGATTTCGAAGGGCTTTTGACGTGAGACCACTTGTATTGGCTTACTTATCTAATTAGCTTTCCATCCATATGTGGATCGTCGAAAACGGAGCCCAAACACGCCCGTGTGACCAGTTTTATGATAGGCTGGTCCTAAAATCCGAGATGGGCTCGAACTTGATTTGGGGCTCCACCTTGGTGACTCGAACCGGATGAGCTTTGGTCCTCCTTCTTGGTTAGGTCACCCTCACTGATCTCCTTGTCCTCTATCTCCAAGCATGGTTGTATGCATAGAGCTCATGTCCTTATCATCCTCCCTTTCTTGATGAAAAGCTGTCCTCGGCGTCGATTTTGCTTGAAGTCGATCTTGCACAATATGAGGACAAATGAGGTTTCCAAAATAATGGGAATGGACAATGTTGTGAGAAACAATATGACCACATGTCCAGGTTTATAGTATGTCTTGTCCTACAGACATGTAGTCTGCTCGATTGAAATACACACGATCTTTGCCAATACTATCCTGCAAAAGATTAGTACTAACAAGAAACATATGCTCCCTTTCTTTAGATTTCACTTGTGTTCAAAAAGTAAAACTAGAGGAATATGGCATAACAACAGTGTTGATTTTACTGTCCTCTAGTTGATCATTACTTTGCACAACAAAAGGATAATTCGGATTTGTACAAATGTAAACTCTTTGTATCAAATATTGTCTTTGGTTGTTATATTTGCCAAAAACATGATATATATGTCTAGAGAACCATGGCAAATCAGTATATGCATAAAGTTTCTCCTCTAAAGAACTAAGATTACACGGAACATCAAATTCAATATAACCCAAAGTATTTAAAGAAGACAATAATTTCAGCTCATCAACTTTACTAGCATTATGAATAACAAGTCTATTTTCAGCACAAGTGTTCAATTTCAGCACACATATAGCATGATCATTCTTCAATGATTGCATAGGTATAACATAAATATCATCATGCAAGTCATCTTCGTCACAAGGAACATCAAACAAAGCATCTTGTGATAAAGGTAAATCAAGCGAAGGCTCCACTAAAATTTGCTCTATCATAGCATGATTGGTGGAAAAATTCAGCACATCAAGAGAACTCTCACCTTCCGTGAGTTTAGCATCATGGGCATTACCTTTGCTCTCATGTTCAGCAGGAGTAATAGTTGATGGTTCTGAATTTTCACATGAGGCTGTGAGCATCTCATTTTCTGTCACGTCATCCTCGCTTTTTTATACATTGTCCTACAAAAGGTTAGGCATAGCAGGAGGAATAACAAGAGATTGATCTAGTTGATGCACCACATCATTTGAATTAATTACAAGAGATGGATTAACAAAATTTTCTCTCATAAGATCTTTCATATCATTCCATGTGTGAGGTTTATCTGAAAAACTTAAAGACTCCCACCAAGTTGATGCAGATTGTCTCAAAATACTAGTTGCATTTTTAATTTTCCTCCGTTCGCACATATAACTTTGTGCAAAAATATTATCTATTTTAGTTTTCCACTCAATGTACTCATCAACACCAATACCATCATAAGTAGGCGGGGAAGAAAGAATAGATTGACCTGTGGAAGGAGGTGTAGCAGCAATAGTGCATGGCTCATGCATCATTGATGTCTCATATCGGTACGTGTTGTAACATGTCATTGTTAGCATCAAACAAGAAAACACACAAGTATGTATTTTCCTATCAGCTACTATATGATGTGGTTAAGGAGTAAAGTCACACACTCTCAAGCGTCTTACCACGGTCTTACAAGTGTTTTTACCAAAGCAACTGACGGTGCAATCGGTTGGTGACTGTGATACCGTTGTAACTTGAGTGTAACAGTTGCAAGGCGAACCTGTACTTGGTCAGAAGAAAGTGGAGCTTGGACAGGCACAATATAGTAGCAAGGAATAGCAATAATTTAATTCAGAAATTATAAAATTGAAAAGTAGTCCCAAGCTACTCTATGTTGTTGGCCTAAACTCGTCCTGGACCTAGTTCAAGCAAGTAATACAATACAACTCAGCACAAGGACTCAAAAGGATGCAAGCACTTTTTGAACTTTTTTTCACTTTCTTTTTCTTTCCTTCTTTATTTTTCTCTCTCTCTCTCTTTTTAGGTGCGGCTTTTTTTTCCTTCTTTTGGTTTTTGCACCTCTTTGCCTTTTTCTGCCTTTGATTGATTTTTTAACCAGATAAATGCCGCAATACAACCTTCAAATATATCATGTGGTACAATGCAATTAGAGTTTAATTTCTCTCTGATATGATGCAAGACTCAAGTTCTAGGATATCAAAAAGCAGCACGATACGTGCTTCCAAAAGTACCTCTCCAAAGTCCAACGTACATGCTAAAGAAGAAACCAAATTGGACTTGATATCTATTAGATAAGGAATTATGCAAATCTTCCTATTTCTTGTCTGCTCACGTACAACTAAA